GTCAGAACTGACAGGAGTTGCCAAGAATACTTAATTCTCTGTCATTTTCTCTTGATCCAGACCCATGCAGCGAAGAAGGGAGAGGGGTGATGGCTGAAAAACAGAAGTACTCTTGAGTCCTAAGAAGTGCAGACTCATCCTCCTATCTTGTGGATTGATTTCCATGGTTAGAGAAAGGTACAAGTGCTGTACCTCCATTAAAATACATCTCTAAGCAAAATACATTCAATAGCATAAATAATTAAACACTATAAACGAATGACAAATAAAACTGTAATAGCAGAGGCGGTAGGACACTTGTACTGCATTAAAATAGATCAGGTCTGAAGTGACTGAATTATGCTTTGTCAGGAAGAGAGGGATATCAATACTGTGAGGCAAACTCTAACCAATCCAGATACCACAGACTAAATTCTCCTGCCAAGGACTGTTCCTCTAAGACTGTGTCTCAAGTAGTGTGTGGAGAAAATTACATTGAGGACACTCCTAAGCTGCTCTCAAAATTTGTCTGTGCCATCTGCAGCATATCTTGCTGGTAATTTACACTGATGGACGTTGCTCAAGAGTCTTTTAATATTGTCTTACATCCATGAGGTCATATTCCCTGGAAATGGCTTGCCAAAGGATGTTCAGTTTTCCATCAGTCCAGTCACATTTCACCACATTAAATCACGTTTGTCTGTAGAAATGGCACTGTGGTACGTAGGTGACTTTTGCAGTCTCTCTGAGCCCGATGCAGCTTCATTAATGTAAAAGCAGTTTATCTGTGGCTTTGGTGGAAGAACCTCAATCTCTCTCTGCTATTGAAAGGCTCCTATTGACGTAATGGCTGGCATCACGTTTGGAACTTGGTAAAATTTTAGACTGTCCATGCACACCCCTTCCTCACCAGGCCAAATTTTAGGCGTGCTGCAAGAAGGGGGAAGAGGAGACTGGGGGAGAAGAAAGATGGTAAGATGATGGGTACAATAAAATAAGGTTTAAGTTAATAATTCCTTTGTTACATATAGTGCTGTGAGAAGTGGGTTTTTTTTAAACATTTTCAATGAAGCAAGATGTGCTTAATATTTTTTCTGATCTTGAAGTTGACCTCGGAAAGTGAATTACACCGAAGCTGAGGTGTCAGTGCAGTACCTTTTAGCGGCTAAGCAGCTGAACTAGACAGGCTGACTGACCGCTCTTCCTCACCTTGCCCCTGTGTTACTGTCCTTAACGTTTCGAGTGCCACCGTGTGGTGAAATTATGCAATAACTTCTTTTTTAATTTGCAATTATTTGGTGCCACCGTGTGGTGAAATTATGCAATAATTTCTTTTTTAATTTGCAGTTATTTAAATTGGCACGTCACCATTTATCAACCTGGAGCATTCCACCCACTGGTGAACTCGTGTTATTAATTACGCACACTTCTTAGGTTTTCTTTCTCTTCTCCAAAATATGCAGTGCAGGAGGTGCAATTTCCTTGGCCTCTTGCTGTGTGATGTCTCCCAACATCACAACAGAAAAGTCTCACGTGCTCAGTTGAGGAGCTGAGGCTCATTCTGGATTGATTTATTGGTAGAGGCCTGTTTATTCACGTGACTAGGCTGATGTGAAGATAGACGTTATGTCCTTCATGTGTCAGTTTGGCGTATTAAAACTCTGTGATGGGAGCCATTACTACAGGAAGATTGCAAATTCCCAGTCTGTCAGTATGAAGAAACAGGAAAGAGGATCCTTATCCACAGGACATCAACTGCCTGGAGACACCAGTTAAGGGGGCATTAGAAACTGAGATCTGCCCACCAGAGCTGCTTAGGTAATTGTGTTACTGCTAATTTAACGACAGTGAAGTTGACATTGCCCTTACTTTATGTTCATCAAAATACCAAGTGTTATTCTTTATGTATTTTTTTGTTGCTTGAGTTTTACACCATTGATTCTTTTTCCCTCTGATCAGAAGTAACAATTACATGATTTGTGTTTATATATATATGATGGGTCAAGATTCACAAGGAGAGGCAGCACTTCATTGGTTGAAAACCAGACAAAATTTTAGGTATGCAATCTTTTCAGGACTAATGTTGATAAAAATCTTCAAAACTAGACATCGCTTGAAAAAACATAATTTGCCATAAAGCCGGTCTCTCTACTGAGTCTATAATGTTTAGCATCCAGTAATTACGAGTGTTAAGTTCTTAAGCTCAGGATCAAGACTTAAGAGGTCACAGATAAAGTGGTTATTTTGTAAAAAATAATTTCCTTTATTCATTTTCTGTAGGAGCACACACTGGTGAACAAGTTCAATGTTTTCTCCTGATTTATACAAAAGCATTTAAAATTGTGTCATAGACCAAAGCTAATACACATTCATTGCGTCTTTTATTTTGACGAAAGGCATTCTTTGTGGATTCATGCCAGCAAGTTTCGCGTTCATGCTCTTCCAGAGGCTGGCTCCAACCTGTGTATGGTGGTCTGCCTGAGGCTTCCTGCTGCTGCTGAATGTAGTGAAGTTACGGGATTATTCGAAAGCTAGGAGCTCTGCTTGCGTAGCATACATCAAACAAGGAAGAATACATTCTTCTGGCAGCATAGTTCAGATAGTTGAGTGGATTGTAGAAAGATATAAAAATATTTGCTCCAATAGCCATCCTTTGGCCTAAATAGCTGCAGAACACCAGAGCTCTCAGCATAAACCACACAAGAAAAGCACCTAAATATTGTTGTTCCCATTTTAAGAGGAATTGGGAAATTTAAAAAATCACTTCAAGGTCATATAAAACCCTAAAAGGACTAAGGATAGAGAGGTTCCTGGTCCTCCTCTTTAAGCAAAGGAACATCCATTCTCCAACTGTACACCATGAAAGAAAGGTTGAATTCTGTTTCAGATGGTTTCTCAAGAAAGTTGTCATTTATCCATACTCATGTATAACCTTATAAACACTGCTAACACACAGATGAGGGCAAAGCTTGAGGAAGAGATCAGATTTGCCAGTTTTTACTATTCCCCAGGTTCCTTAGGGGATTACAGAAATGACTATTTCATGATCAAAAGGAAAGAATATAAACTTTTTAAGGAAAAAATTGTATAAAAATGCATTATAATGCTCTGGACTAACCTTTAAAGGGAGATCCACAAGGGTCGTATATTACATGGCAATGAATGAAGGGCCTATTACTCTCCAGTATAAAGTTGAAAAAAAAGAGAGTGGACGAAACAGTATCAAATGGAAACATTTTCATGCATTCCTATCTCCATTTGCCCGCATTCATTCTACTTCGAAACAAACTTTCTCTTTCCCTTTGGAAAGTGCACAGGGAGGTTGAAGACCCAAACTGGCATGGGAAGTCTGTAAGGGGCCAGGGCCAGGCTCAAGCTCCCAGCTCTCTGGCATGTTGTCACGATAAATACCGCATGATACTGTGCGTGGTAAGTACTGACAGTTTTCAAGGCATTTACACTAGGTTCACTGGAGCCTTTTGTTTATCAGCCACTGCCAAGTTAGGGCTGCCGTGGAACAGTCAAACCCATTGTTTATCAGCCACTGCCAAGTTAGGGCTCCCGTGGAACAGTCAAACCCGCTCTTTCCTCAGTCACTTTGCAGTTTAACTCCTATGGAGAAGATAGTTTTATCTTAAATACACAGTAGAGTCTCTTGGCAGGGCTTTTATCTGTGACTGGTGTAGGAAAAATTAGCTCCTAGGATCTAGAAAAACCCACCAATTACTTTGACATCCCTTCAGATCTTAAAAGAAAGACCTACATTTTTATACACTAGAAAGGTTTCTGTATAACCTGCAGTGTGTTTCTGCCCTTTAGAAGGGCTGTGCTTTTGAAAGTAACTTCCAAAGGAATATGAATTTTGCCTTTGTCATCTTCATCTTATAGGGATTAAACGTCCCCCTGCTTCCCCTTAGATCAACTTACAGATACTTGGTTTTTGCTCCTGTTTTGTGCTTAGCTTCTAATCACTATTTTAAAATTGTAGAAAAAAGTTTTAGATGAAAACTCTGCTGTACTATTATGTTTTCCTAAAGTGCAGGTCTGTACAACTCAACCTTACCCTTAGATGTCACATCAACTTTGAGTGCACTTTTATGGATTTGTTAAATATTAAGTCTAATGGAATCAGCTGCTTTAGTTTACTGTTTTGCAAAGTGAAAGTTTTAGTTTCATTCCTGTGATGTCATTACAGCAGTGTGCCTACGTGATCTCAGAGGCAGACACAGATAGATACATTATATCTCAAACTATTACTGATCACACAATTTTCAAAAGTATCTAACTCTTCTGAAATCACCACAATTGCTAAGCACAAGATGTAGAATTCCTTAATTACTTGACATAGTTAGTGTTTACCAGGCAAAAAAAATACAGCCTAAACAATCCACTCCAGAACCTTGATAAACTATCATTGCATGAGTTTTGCATACTAAGAAAGCATAAAAAACAGAAGACAAGGACCATACCCTTCTGCCTCAAAGGCAGAACTATTTGATTACATAGTAAAATGAAGAAGGAAAACATAAAGGATTAATAAATTCTGTAATGAAGTAAAAATCATGCAAAGAGGTAGCTGATATGGTTTCTCCTTTTTTGGTATCATCTTTGCAACTATAATTAGGAAAAATATTAGGAAGTTAGGGAGGGACTGCTTTTCAGTATCTTGGGAGCAACAGAAAAGTATTTCAGGGAAAGCTGTAGTCCAGGTTACGAGAACAGTCACGTGCCTACAACAGAATTACCATATTAAGGCTGTTACTAAATTTGATTGTCAGATGAATCGTGGGAAGTATATATTTTAGCAAATAAATTTTGTTCACCAAAATATCATAGATAACATCCTGAAGTTACATAAATCAGATAATCTAGAATAAAAAACCCTCACAGGTATGCAGATGTTAAACATTTTTATCACTGCAATTATTTATGGCCTGTGTATGTGATCATAAGTGGTATTTTTCAGGTTGCCAAAACTGGATATTCTCTACTTCACTCATTGATGACAAACTACACTGAAATATTTTATATGGATTTATTTCATTATTCCAGTTCACTCCTCAATGGATTTTATGTATTTCTCATAGGCATCTTCATTCATCAGTTCATCAAGTTCAGCAGGGTTTTCCACAGTCATCTTGATAAGCCAACCTGTAGTTAGGAAATTAAAAAGAAAAACGGTTGCTAGTATCCTACAAGAAAGATTCATTCACATTACTGCCCTAGAAAGGTACTCCCAGTAGGCACACAAGCCCTGTAACACTGGTAGAATCAACAGGACTTCTTGTGCAGGCAAAACAATGTTTCAATACTTTAAAAACTACACAAACAACCTGTCCTAAGAAATGGCCTTTTGAGTCAGACCAGCTATCTAATTTAGTACTGCCTCCGACAGTGGCATTAAGGACACGCTGTCTACAAAGAGTAAAAGAGCCTGACCTCTCAGTATCATGAGTATTAAAAGAGCCTGACCTCTCAGTATCATGAGCCGTCACAAGATCAAAAAAGAGAAATGCAATCAAGGGAAAGAGATTTAAATTCAACCACAGCCTATGTCTGAAAAGAATACATTGTAAAGTAGCTGTCAGCAAAGACAAGACTACGATAATACTTTCACATTAAATTTTATTGGGCTTGAACTATATTCAATATATTCCATTTAAGCCTCCATACCATTGAACTGGAAGAACTAGGAATTGCAGAGCCATTTGTGATAGCAAGAATCCAGGTGGTATTCATTATTGAAAGATAAAAATGAGATCTTACCATCTTGATAACAAGATTTATTGACAAGCCCTGGATTATCTGCAAGGGCAGCATTAATCTCAGTCACTTCTCCCGAGAGAGGAGAGTAGAGTTCACTAGCAGCTTTCACACTTTCCAAAGCTCCAAACTCATCTGAAACGCAGAACATGATTGAACGCTTTTAAGAGGAAAATAGAAAGCGCTTTAGTTTTTTAGTCAAGACGTTCTGGTGATGACCTAGCCATTGAAAAAGCATCTTGATCTTGAGCAAGGAAAACTGTCAAAGAGATTGAAGTCACCAACTTTATGACAACGATCAGCAGTATTAAATTCAATGTTTATGCTCCCAAATTATTCTGGGGAACCTGCATAACACTAGCTAGCTGGCTACTACAGAAGGCACAGAAGTTTCTTACATTTGGCTAATCCTTTGGCTAAAGCCCTACAGCATATGATATGATAAAGGCTTAGAAGAAACCACATCCAGCTCTTGCTGCAAGAGACCTAAATATGCATTCTATCTACAATTTAAAGCTTTTTATACATAATTTGGTTACAAAATAGACACATCCACAATTTCAGGAATCCCAGTTTTTCTTCAGAAACACTATCAAGTGTTACGTTTGCACTCATTGGAAAACACACATTAGTATTCAGAAGCACCACACTGGAATCACCCAGCCGCTCCTCCCTTTTTTCTATTTTGTAGGCAGTTATGGAAATGGTGCCTGGAGCAATGTTAGTCCAGAGTAACTCTAAGCCACAAGCAAACGAGACAGAGCCTGGAGGAACACAGAGCTGTCAGAAGAGTAGATAGGCATCAGCACAAGGAATCAGAGAACAACATGTTCTGGGAAAGCTTGGAATTAGACTAGGGCCAGAACGGGTAGAAAAGAGACGAACTAAATGGAAATGAAATTCCTTTAGATAACACAAAACTACAAGTTGGTTAATTAAAACCCTAAACAGAAAGATCTTTTGTCTAACATTCACCATTCAATGCAATGTAATAGATTTGGCCAAAACAGTTCGATACGGACCTATTCCACAAGAAGGATGGCAAAAGAAAGGCCTGCTACTTTACCTCAGTAAATCCACATTCTTGTTCTGCAATGTCTGAAGCTAATGACAATCTTTTCTTCATATACTAGCGAGACAGCTCTCCAGGTTAATACAGAAATAGGCTTTTCCTTTTTACCTGTTAACACTCACTCTTCTTTAACATGGAAAATTACGTAACTGAATGTTTAAGAATGTAACAATTTGTACATTGCTAATGAGCAAAAATCTATGATTACAGTTGATACCCAAAAATTACTGAGTCTGTATATTCATAGAAAAATTAGAGCTTGATGTCAATTAGATGTTTCACATCATGCAACTTGTGAAATGCGTAACTGCAGAATTACAAATAAGCCAGCCTAAACACTAGCAAGTCCAAATCAAAGCATAAATATTTTAAAAACAGAGTAGAGATAAAATGATTACAAAAATATATTTCAAATGTTTGATTTTTAAATGAATGTCTTCACAGTTTAATGAGCAGGTATTTTCTGCTACCATGCATGGTCTGACAGTGAGAATTCAAAATTAAAGCTGTCTCTTGTAGAAATACCTGAATTTATTCTGCATCCAGAAGATTTATAATGGTATTAATGAACACAAAGATTACTTCATAAAATTCATCTTTGCAAAGGGATAGTGGGATAAGTAGAGTAATTCATCAGAAGTTAGAGCTGAAACTTACCATGTTTACTCAATTTTGTCCCAATTTCTGGAAGACTACAGTAAACAACATCTCCTAATGCTTCCTTAAAAGAAAAACAAAAGCATCAAAGCATACATTAAAGAAACTATACATAGCAGAGATCTGATACAGTAACTCTAGAATCACTGTATATAAGTAATCTCTGTCTCTAAATTTAGTTCTCATTCTTTAAGGACTGCATATTTTTCACTTTTTCTTTTTAGACATTTAACTTGAAAAAACTGTTTTGTTATCATGCCCCAAATGCCAAATTATTGTTTATCTATTACAGTATTAATAACCCTCAGGCTGAGTTACAAGGTTTATATACAGATTTCTTCAGGCAGAATGAGAAATAACATCTGCTGATCTTCTTATCATCAGCTAGAGTAACAACAGTTTTAAAGGACAAAGTTCCCAATGATTTGAGGGAATTACCTTTTTGTTACAAAGCACAGAGGATTTACTTCCAGTGCGATTTGAAAGAAAACGCAATGATTCCTCCCCAGAGACACAGACAACTGGAGAGCTGTTAGCATACAGTTTGTCCTTACTGACTTAATAAGGAGCCTTATCACCACAAGAATCAGCTCAGCCAGAATAGGCTTCTGCCTCTTCACTGACAAACGTACCCTACCTCACAAAAGACTAGGGATCGTGTAGAGTATTAGTGTTATTTATAGAAAACTGAGATATGGGAAATGCTGCTTGTCCTAAGAAAATTAATTCCACTTCATTGATAGCTTCTCATATTAGATTCTCTTCAGTTTCACATACAGTGAATCTCTATCCCAAATTTGGCTGTGACTATTCCAAATCAAGTACTTGCATGAGAACAAACCAAAAAAAAACATCCAAAGGAATTTCTATCCTAGAGTAAGAAATATGCCATGTTGTACTTCTATTCACAATTGTTCTTTAGCCAGAGGGACTGCACCGTATTCATGTTCAAGGAAAATTTGGCCTAAAAAGCGCATGATGTCCTCTTCACATAGCCACGAACTTCTCAGGCCTATAAGAACTGAAGTAATAAAGGAAGTTTTTAAATTCTGCTGAACCATTAAGTCTCTCATCAAGTTCAGCTCTCCATAGGCTCAATCTGAAGTGATTAAGAATTTATTAGAATGCTGAAGCAGCATTCACTTCACAAATAATGTGATAGATACAAGTCCAAAAATCGCACTCAGTGTGTAGCATATGTAATTAGAACAATAAAACCCAGTAACTGTCCAAAGAGCAAGGACAAGAGCAGGTACGCATAAATAAATACTGCAGACTTGGGTAAGGGGGGAGAGATCAATACCTGTGCAAAATTGCTGATTCCTACTGTTCCAATGCCATTTTCAACAGATATCCATTCATGCTTGTCTGTGAATTTGCGGGCTAAAAGGAAACAAACTTGATATTTCAGAAATAAGTGACATGTTGCTCACTTAAATACAATAACACATTTGCAGCCTTAAACTGTGGGGGTTTTTTACTGAGGTTAGTTTTGTTTGTTTTTCTTGGAAAATATTTTAAACAGCACATACAATTTACAGAAGCATTTTGTTCTGCTCATGACATGCTTAGTGACACGGTAGAAGCTCACTAGGTGTTCTGCTGAGAGTATTACTAGTTCCTGTGCAATCTTCTAGAGACTGATAAAGTACAGGAGCAAAAGGAGTAGTTCTCCTTCAAACAAAAGTATACATCTGAAGCACATATGGTACTTTACTCAGTTGTGCATTTCTATGATAGCATAGCGGCTTTTCAAGCATATTTAGTGTTTGTTTCTGACAACCACTCTATTATTCCTGGGAAGGCCAGTGTTAGTGACTCGTTAGAAACACTGTCAGCATTGCAGCATCTCATTCAAAGTACTTAAATAGAGCCATCGGTTGAAGTAAAAAACTTGCAACCTAGCTAGCAGAAGTGGCTGATTCCCCTCCCTCCCCCTGACATTTCCTATAGAGTCTATTTCTCCCCAATTAATGTTGTCACAGGTCTTTGTAAAATTAAGGCAAATTAATACAGGGCAAATTAATAAGGCGACTCATACAGGCAACTGTTACTTAAAATAATTTGCTCTCTGTTAATACTGTTACTGTGAGAAGAACGCAGTAGTTATTCTGTATAGTTTTAACAGGGTCTTAAATATATGCTTATTTTAAGTCTTTTCACAGCAATCTTACAATTCTACATATATTTTAGATCTGTAAGATTCAGAGCAGCTTGTGCTAGCTTTTATTAGAAGCAATTCTTTTTATAAAGTCATATGGAGAAACTTCAAAAGAAGTAATTGAAACAACAGGCAACATTTTTCTTGCCAGTGTTTTACCTGGAACTTTTTTACTCTGAGCATTTTCAGCCTGCTTTGTCTGTTTTCTCATTTCCATAGTTTCCCCATAGATACTTTCTCCCCCCCCCCCCCCCCCCCCCTTTTTTTTTTTTTAAATTAATTTATTTTTAATTTTCACTTGTACCTCCTATCCAATCAGGCAAGGGATGTTGCAGAAGCTGGAGAAGATAACTTCTTAAACAGAGCTCCCTGTGTGATTAGTGCCAGAGTAGTACAGCTGGACCTTCCTTTTGAGTTCAAAATTCTCCTCTCAGACTCCTCCTCCAGGCTGGACTCCTTATACCCGCTAGAGAAACTACACTTCTGCAAATACTTGTATATTTTCTAAACTTATACATGAAGAAAACAGAAGTTCTCACTGTAGACCTGCTAAAATCTTTCCACTGTAAGTCAGTCATATTTTAAGCTGTTTCAACTGTAGTGATCGTCTTATGTCTGAACGTGTAAGAGAAGCAAGTCTCAGATAAAATGGTTTGTCTTTGAAGATGGCCTAAGTTTTATAGACCTCAGTAGAGCAATACATGTTTTTGCCAGTACAGTACATGAAAAATTTTGAGTAAAACGCAAATATGAAGTATTTTTCCATGAATTATCACTCAAAAAACCCAGAGAATTTCAGCTAGCATTATTTATATCTACAAAAATCTCTCAGGACACGTTCTAATGAACAGAAGAAATCAAACGTCTTAAATCATTTTAGGTCAAGACATTAAACCCATAGGAATTTCATTGGAAATGAGTAATGAACCATAAGAACGGAGAATGACACAGAATCCCAAACCCAAGCTGAACATTTGTGACATTACATGTCACAAAGAAGCCAACCAATATCATTTTATGTAGGATAATAATATCGTATAAGATTTGTTTATAAAGCAAGGTTTAAAAAAAAAAAAAAAAAAAAAAGAAAGAAAACCAGAAGACTTCCATGATCCGTTTGGAACACACCAGTAAAATGTTCTCAACAGTTAGAAGAGCACATAAGCTTCTTGAAGGACAAAAAAAAGGGAAAAATGAAAAATTCTAACCATGTAACAAAAAACACTACAAATAAAGGTCAAATGAAAAACAGTTAATAAGTAATCTCAAAATTTGAACTTTGAGCTTATGTGATCAGCTCATTAAATAAATCAAATTAAACGAATATGAGATGTCAAAGCATACCCAATCTCTTCTATGAGCATTCTTTTTCAGAAAAGCAGCTAAATTTACTCCAGCTTCGTTCACTTCAACATGACTTTGGTTTCAGCTTAACCAGCACATTCTGAATTCAGACCTTTATTTAGTTTAGCCTGCTTCTATTAAATATTTCATAAATATATACCTGAAAAGTGAAGGAAAACTCACACCTCCACAAAGAGGCGTAGAAAATTTTTCCTCTTTGCCTAAACCAAAAGCATAATTTATGTTATTCCTTCAAGTTATATCTACAGAAAAACAATGGGTATATTAAACAATTAGAATAGTGAAAACAGCTTAGATCTTGACTCAATTTATAAATAATGACTAATAAATGTTATTTCTTTCACTTGCAGCAGAAGGCAGTTAAACAGATAGTCTTTTAACCTATCTGGAAGGAAATTTATGACCTCTTCTTAGTGGCAGTCATTACTTTTATAGCATATTCTCCTCCTCTTCTGTCCCGCCTTTTCAACATTTCTGTTTGCTAGAGTACCACGGATTCTGTTTTTCAGACTTCTGTGGCTAACTGTCATTCAAAGAGAGCTTCGACAGCAGGAGATACTTTCAGAATTAACTACATTAAGTGCAAAATCACACCAAGCACCGATGTGTGCCATCTCCTGCCTTACCACTTCTGTAGCTACACTGCACAGGAGCTGATGAGACAGAGCCAAACTTCTTTAGCCTGAACAAGCCCAAGGCCCTGAAAATCTGGCTCAGGTTTCCTGGCAGCCCACGCCAATCTAACTGCTGGGGCTGCTGCAGGCCTGCCTCCTCCACCCACCCATTTTGGCCCCTTTCTTGTACTGCTGCTGATGCTCCTTGGAGCTATCAACAAGCTGTTTCAGCACGACGATCCCAGGAAAAGCTATCCACTCTTTTTGTCAAGTTTGTTTTCTCCACACTCGGCCCACTCAGTGAAGCCTGCAGCTGCGCCCAGAAGGGGACAGGGCCACTTTGCTGAAAAACTGCTGCATGGAGAGGAGGTTAAAAGTTTTCTGCCAGTTAACAGAGATGAACCAGCTCCTCATGGGAGGAGAAATTGGGAGAGTGTCAGCACCAGGACAAGGGACGGGGGAAACCCGCACTGCCAAAAGCAAGGAGGCATTAATTGTCCCCTGCAGCTATAAGCCCCTGCAAGGCTTCAGCCATCTTGCGAGGCTTTTCCCCGATTCCCATATGGGCAGCCCTGCACCAGCGGGTGGAGATGACCCGTCCGAGACGAGCACAGCCCAGGGGAAGCTGCAGCATCCCGCTCCACCCGGCCGTGCTCTTCCTAGCCGCACGGGCAGCTAAAACACAAGACACGCCTCGCTACGAAGTACTTCTGCACAGCAGGGTCTGGCAGGCGGAGATTCAAACTCCGGGGCTGCTCCGCGCACAGAGCAGGGAGGCCACTCCAGCCCTCACCGGCTGCTGCAGGCGGC